TTAAGGAGGCTCTTTTAACGAAGAGCATAACCTCAAAAGTTTGTTGGTCCGCATCGCTATAACTTTTTTTGAGATATAAAGCCTAAATTGTTTATTTAATTTTGGTCGTAACTATGTTTGGTTTGACTTCGCTTTACAATCCAGTCTTTTTTAAAGAAATATTTCGAAGCACCTGCAATGTACTGCTTACTATGCATCTGTCTAATGAACTGATAAATTCATAGACAGTTAATTGGTATCACAGTTGAGCAGAAGCATCCTTCAAATCAAACTACATCTCTTCATAGATTTTGCTTTGTGATTCTTAAATAACATTATATTTGGACAAAAAAGGGGGACGGTTAACGTGGTTATAACATGTATGTAGAAAGTGTAGATAGGGGTCATCAAACCTTGATGGCCGAAAACAGACGTTACTTTTTGCTGTCCTAATTACCTTGAGCCATTACTGCGGGTTTCATGCATAATCGAGCACAAACAGGCACATACATATACATAGACAGACACACGCACATACTTCGAAGTTAATATATGACCGTAACTAACCAAATCACTTTATATTTGATGCCAGATTTATGGAGTATATATACCACTATTTAGGGATTTTCCGGTGAGTTTTCTTGACTCAGCTTAAATTTGGTTGTTACTATGATACCTGGCTCTGATGATGTTCGTCAAATGATGGACGAAAGCTTAGCATCTTTTCCCCGGAATGGAAGGAGATTACCTCGGAAACAGCGTCAGCATGAATCTTCCAGTAGAGCCAATCGACAGCTGGTCAAGAGGAATCCACCGTCGTCTTCTAAGGGAATCGAACTTCGAATATCTTTATCCAACATTCACTCGAAATGGAAGTAGGCTCAACAATTGTGAAACAAGAGTTTCCTCGACACCCAATTTTTCTTCGCATATATTACGCTGTAGATTTTCATCACATGTACTGTATTCATTCGAAGGTTTTTATATGGTAAAGTCACTGCTATTGTCAAGCATGGGTATTTTGGAAGAGACAGGCTCCCTTAGCTCATAAAAGATCGTTTAGAACGCTCCTCATTTATAAGAAAGCCTGCTTAGGTGACGACTGAATTCATCAAGTTAGGAACTCCATGTTATTGTAGAACCGGCATCAGGGCTTTCCACAGGCAATTAGTAGGGCAAGATACTAATGTAGCAACCTCCACTGAATTGCAGTCTAGGCCACCTTGAATAGCACGCTTCAGAACCAAATTTTTTGAACGGCTTAACTGTTCTATGTTCTTATATTTCCAATTATCTCGTAGCATATACTACCTATACTTTGTTTTTCTACATAATTTGTTCCAGCAAGCCTTATCGATAATTCGTCAACATGGCAAAGATGTACTGGCGCAAGACAAGGTAAAGAGTCCTGGCAGTTCTGCTGATCTTTCAGTATGGATCGTCTTTGCAACTGGGATCTGGCGTCTGGCAGATCTAGTGGCAAATCTCTCCCTTGAAAATGCCCCCATTTTGTGCTCTGCTTTTTCATCAAAAGTGTGTTGTGACGATTTGCTCGAAAATAAGGGGTCCAAGGAGGCAGAGAAGCTCTATTTAGAAGCATATCGCATATTCGACAATGCTCTTATTCTTCACTCTCTATCGGAGGCAAATGAGAGTGGTGAACTCATTCTTTATGACTACGAGGGCGTTATAGAACTGGCTAACTCAGTGATGCTTCTGCAGGTAACTTAATGCATTTACTTAGAAAGAACCTCTTGCTTACTTCATTTTATTCTTGCGAATGTCTGTGCACATTTGGGTATGGGGGTGCATTCTTTCACTTATTTATAATTATAGATATTTTC